CTCGACCACAGCACCAGCGGCACCTGCTGCTCTGACGCCGCCGCCACCGCCACCAGCACCAGCACCAGCGGCAGCCACCGCATCTGCCAGAGCGCCGGGGCCCGTCGCGTCCCCGCCAGCACTCGAGCCACCACAGTCGCCGCCATCATAACCTCTCGGCCTCCACTGCCTCAACCCACCACTGCCGCCGCAGATCAGGTGACCGTCGCCCCCGCCCGAGCTCCGCCTCGAGCCGCCATTGGCCCAGGAGCAAGCCGGCTCTCCAAACCCCCAGATGATTGGGCGACGTAAATGCCACTCACAGATGCTCCTTTTTACTGGTTGGCTGTACATGCCTCCAGGCGCGCACGCTCCAAGTAGGAATGGGGGTGGGGCCGAGCTCCGCCGGTTCCCACCGCCCGCCGACGCCTCGGGCTTCGACCCCGCAGAAGGAGTGGGGCGGGGCCGGGGTGGTCTCTGCTCCACTGGTCCCTACAGGCGCGGCTTTGCCTCTCCGTTTTAATCTTCTCAGTACTTAAAATAGCAAGAGTGGTTTGGCTTTTTTTCCTGCAGATGAACCCTACCTGACACAGGTGAGGAGAGAAGAGGAGGAACACCAGCACTTACAGTGGGCAAGGAGGAGGAGCATCAGAGAGGAGGGGAAAATCCAGGGAAACCTAGTTTCAAGGACACCATGATTAACAATGTCATTGTCAACTGCTAGGAAGCAGGTAAGATGAGGATGGAGAACTTTCTTGGACTTAGCAACAACAATTTGGCAAGAGCAATGACAGTGTGGGGAAGCGGAGGCACGGTGTAGATTGTCCTTTCTCGAAGTTTGCCTTTAAGAGAGAAAAGTGACAGCTAGAGTCAGAAGATGGGAGACACCACCTCAAACGAATTAGGAGACTTTCACCTTTTTCTGTGCCATTTTTGATTTCTCAGATTGGTGACCATTAGAAGCAAGCAAAAAACCCAATAACTATAACCAAATATTGAATTCTTGTTAAGGATATGTACACGGTTTTATTTAGGAGGAAGTGATCTGATGTTTGCAACTTAGTTTGAAATGCACCAAAAATAAAATGGAGAGAGGGGGTGGCTATAGCTCAGTGGTAGAGTGCATGCTTAGCATGCATGAACTCCTGTATTCAATCCCCAGTCCCTCCATTAAAAAAAGGAGAGAAATTTAAGTACAGAGATAGGTGTATGATAAAGCAACGATAGTAAAATGTTAATGGCAGAATCTAGGGGGTGAGTATATGGGTGTTCACCATAAGCTTTTTTTTGACCTTGCTACATGTAGTGGGTTGAACAGTATCCCCCTGAAATTCATGTCTATCCAGAACTTGTAAATGTCACCTTATTTTGAAATAGGATTTTTGCAGATGCAGATAAAGTCATGCTGGATTAGGGTGGGCCCTAAATCCAATAACTAGTGTCCTTATAAGAAGAGGGAGATTTAGACACAGACACACAGGGAAGAAGGCCAGTTGATGACAGTTTTGTAGCTGCAAACCAAGGAACTCCTGGAGCCACCAGAAGCTGGAATAGGCAAAGAAAGATTCCTCCCTAGCACTTTCAGAGGGAGCACAGCCTTCTTGACACCTTGATTTTGGACTTCTAGCCTCCAGAACTGAGAGAATAAATTTCTGTTGGTTTAAGACTGCCAGTTTGTGCTGGTCTGTTACAGCAGTCCTGGGAAGCTAACACTACATGCTTGATATTTTTCATGACAAAAATACAGAGAGATGAACGTTTGATACTGCCCATTGTCAGCAGCAAGGATGTTAGGAAACAGAGTCTCACCTACACAGTGGTGAGAATATCAATTGGTAGAACTTTTTTGGAGGATAAGTTGGCAGCATCCAACAAGCTAAAATGTGTGTGACCTTTAACCAAGCAGTTTCCCTCTTAGGGATCCATTCAGCAGAAATACAGGATGCACATACAAAGCGATCAATTGCATCACCATTTGTTGCTGCAAAAATTGGGGCAATCATAACTGGACACTGGGACACTGTCCAGCCACTGCTACTACCACCCCCGCCCCTCAAACACCATCTCATTGGCAGAATTCAGTCTGTGTGCAGAACTCTCACTGCCTTGTAGGAAAAAAGCACAGCAGAAGGAGGGACTAGGTGCTGGGAGCCACTGCACCTTGCACACAGTGACTCCCACCCAGCTCCATGTGGCTGATAGGCCACTGATCACCTCCACTTGTCAGAGAAACTGCTTCTGAGATTGTAGTCCTGGTTGTCACCAGTGTGACTCGCACTAGGATGGCTAGGATGGTGACAGTTGAGCTAAAGAAAAGAGGTGGGCTGGACATGGTCAGGGGAGACAGCAGCTGAAGGTGGCTCTTGGAGTTGGGGACTGGGAGATGAGATCAGTTGGGGATAGTTAAGTTCAGGGTATTTGTAGGGTCCCCAAGTGGCAGTGGCCAGGCCAGGTGAGGGGAGCTTATGCTGGTGCTGGCTGTATCCCCAGAAGCCCTGAAGAAGTTTGAAGTCCTAGTGCCCTGATTTAATTTGTATTTTAAAGGGCTAGTCTGGCTCTGGTGAGCAGAGCAGATGAGATAGGAGAAAGATGAAAGGGGCTTGGCCAGGTTGATGGAGGGGCAGGAGGTAGGGCAGCTTTGGCTGGGCTTGCTGGCTGCCCTGGGGCTTACTTGCATTCCTTCAGTCAGTCAGTCACTCACCAAAGTCCTGCTTGGAGATCCTGGTCGGCCCAGCCCCCGGTAGGGGAAGAGCATGAGGGCCCCTAACCAGGGCGTCACAGCGTAGCTGACGTCCTCCAGGCCCAGAACAGACCTGGCAAGGGACCCATTTTAAGAGGAAAGTTCTATAACAGTGCCATGAGAGTGAAATCTGTCGATGGACCTTGGGGACCAGGAGAGCAGTGACACAGACTGACAAGAGGAGCCAGTGGCCATGGGCAAATTTAGGAACACAAAGGGCACCATTTAAAAAAATTTCAAGGCAAAGACATTCTTGAAATTGTGATCTTGCTGGCCAGCGGTCTCTTGCTCCCCATCCTTAGGGGAGAAAAGCCCTTGGCTGCTTTTTTTCCCTTCCCTCAGTTGCCAGGTGTCCCTGGAGTGGTGACCTTCCCAGCTTCCTGAAGCACTTGCTCTGGGCCAGGCATTGAGTCAGACGCGGACCCTGCTCCTCGAGTTCACAATCTGGGGGGGAGGGTATAGCTCAGTGGTAGATTGTATGCTTAAACTGCACAAGGTCCTCAGTTCAGTCCCCAGTACTTTCATTAAAAAATAAAATAAATAAGTAAATATACCTAATTGACTCCCCCCACACCAAAAAAAGTTCAGAATCTGGTCTAGAGGAGATGTGGAATAATGTAGGCCACAACACAGGGTGATAGGTGTTCAAAAGCGGGAAGACACAGGGCTGGGAGGGAAGTGCAAAGAGTGGCACCCACGTGAGTCTGCTTTGACCACAAGGTGATATCCAAGCTGTCATTCCCTCAATGTTGACAGCACCCATGGGCACCTTCTGTCCTGGGGCTTTCTTTTTAGGGTAAAGGCATTTCTTCATTAAAATCCTTCTGGGCCCTCATCATCCCCTCGCCTTCTTAAATTGTCTTAATATAATATTGAACACATACTAAACTATGTGTGATATTTATGTGCTACAGCAATTACATGAGTGTTACATAGACATGTACAAGCTGTCTTACACGTTTCCAGTATATGAAATATACAGTAAAAGCAGCCCTCTTCACCCCGCCCCAGACTTCAGAGGCCACTGCCAATTCTTTGGCTAGGAATCTGTATCCCTCAAATCCCTTTTTCCCTGCCTCACCCCCAGAAGTAATTGCTAGCCTGAACTTGGTGTTTATTGTTCCCTCCTTTTTTTCCCTAGAGATTGACCACTTACGTATGTGTCGCTAAACCATCTAGTGCTTAGTCTGCTCGTACTTGAGATGATGAAATGGCATCGCCCTGCTCATAGTTCCACACAGAGGACGCAGGTTGTGTAGTACCATCCTTGCACAATCCAGTGTGTGAGCCTTCCACCACCCCTGGTTTTATTCTACTGTTGGCCGATGCTGGGGGTGCATCTTGTGGTTCCCGTGGTTGGCTGTGAGGCTCTTCCTGACCTCTGAGTGCAAGATGTCTCAGGGGCCGTGGCAGATGGCATCATTATTCACAATTATTCAGTCTCCCCCTTCCCTTCGGGAGCAATTCTCCTTGCCCATTGCCAGGCAGGAGATGAACTGGAAGGCAGGTTCAAGGACACCCCACTGTAGCTGTGATATGAGGATCAGGAGACCCCTACCTCCACTGTGGGAGTCTCTCAACACCCACAAAGCAAGTGACCGGGCCCTGGAACATTCCTGCCAAAGCCCCCGAACTCCACACTGTGCTTGCCGTGAGAACAAGGCAAAGGGGCTTACAAGCAGCAGAAATGTATTGCTCACAATTCCGGAGGCTGGAAGTCCAAGATCAGGGTGCCATCAGGGTAGAGGGAGGGCCCTCTTCCAGGTTGCAGACTTCTCATTGTATCTTCACTTGGTAGAAGGGGTGAGGGAACTCTCTGGAGCCTGTTTATAAGGCTCCAGATACCCATCATGAGGACTTAACCCTCCTGACCTAAGCACCTCCCACAGGCCCCACCTTTGAAGACCATTAGGGCATTAGGTTTCAACAGGAATTTGGAGGGGACACGGACATTCAGACCAGAGCATAAATGAAGCATGCATCCCTAAATACGGTGGTTTTGTTTTGTTTGTTTGAGGAACTTTATATAAATGGAATTGTTCAGTATTACATTTTGTGTCTAGATTCTCTACTCAAAGTTGGGAGGTTAATGGGAGTCATTGCATAATAGCAACATGACTGCTATTCCCCTGAGTAAATATTCTGCCAGCCCCTCAGCCCTTCTACTGTTGAGAGACATTGGAGTGGCTTCCCACTTTGGCTAGTATGGCTAATGGTGCTGCAGACAATTACATATATGTCTTATGGTGCACATATATGTACAGTTCAGTAGGTATATCTACCAGGTCATAGAGTATATGAGCTGGGTTGGATAGTGTCCCCCAAATTCATGTTCACCTGGAACCTCAGAATGTGACCTCATTTGGAAACAGGGTCTTTGCAAATATAATTAGTTAAGATGAGGTCATAACTGGAGTAGCGACCCCTAAT